AGCTCTAAATTAAAAATGCACAAAGCTGGGGAGGAGGAGAGAGTCCTCAGAGCAGGGGTTCTCTGTAGCTGGAGCGTTAGGATGTCTCACTACCTAATTGCTTTAGAATATGTGGGCTTGAATGAATCCTTTTCAATACTAATAGGCAAATGCGTAAACAGCAAACCCCGAGCACCCAAAGGCTGAAACGTGCACTAATGAAGACCTGACTTGGCTGGCAGGTGCGGACTTGATATGTAAAACGCCGTGAATATATCAGTTTTGAAATGACATTTGCCAAAAGAAGAAAGTCTTCTGCGCCTTGCCCTTGTCTCTGCTCCCTGCTGCCGCACTCCTGCTGGGTGCCATCCCTGGCTGCAGGCCCATGGCACTGCCTGCTGCCACCCTGCCTCCCAGGAAGGGCAGCAAGAGCCTCCAGCTCTCACCCTCTGCCTGCACTCCCCCTTCCCCACTGCCTTCCCAGGTTCAAATCCAGTTTTCAAACCCTGGCCCTGCTGGTAGAGCCACTTGTGGGCTGGAACTCCCCAGCTTTGTGTGTGGAGATTATCTGGAGATTCACCTGGTGCTGATCCAATGAACCAACGCAGCCGTACAAAGCCAAAGGGAAGGGTGCAGAGTTCTCTTTGTAATAAACCACATGGCGTGAAAAGGGATTTCTTTACTTCCTTTCCTCCATTATTCTCCATCTCTCACCTCGTGGAAATGGGTCTGTTAGGAAGAGACTTAGACTCACATGCTAGGAAAAACGAGCAGGGCAAGGAGACCTGAAGGTAAAAGAAGGCAGAGCTCCTGGAGGTTTCTGTAACTCAGAGATTCCAGGAAGAATAGGCACAACCTGAAAGAACAGGAGGAAGCCCTGAAAAATAAACCAAGGCATGGGCCTTGGCATTAAATCCTTCCTCAGGATGTTGTCACTAAAGCAGCTAGGTAAGAAACCCTTAAAATCAGTGATGAGTTCAGTCCCAGAGGCAAAGGTGTTCTGTCCAGAGAAGTGCCCAGCAAGCTGGGAGCTGGTCTGAACATCTTTGGTTGTACTGAGTTGTGCTGGTAACCTCTTCAGATCTGGCTGCCTCCCAAGTAGGGAGGGATGAATACTGCAAAATGTTTCAGTTTCCAGTGCAATTTTGAAACTCATTTGCTTTGACTGAATTTGCGCTGTGTTTATGTAAATTTATAAACACTGTAATAAATTTATCTACTTACAGAAAACAGAAATTTTAGAAAAAGGCTGGAAAACATTGGTGAAACACAAATTCTAATTCAACAGGAATATTCACAGAACCTGATTTAAATGAACATTCAGTCACGAAGCAGAAACACAGCATGTGGTCTGTATATCTAGCAAACTACAGCAAGCATAATCCAAAATTCAAACAATGGTTATCAGCTTAAATGCTTTAAATTACATGCATGTCATTTTTTTGTGGCTGCAGTGACTATGTGACCAAAACCCAGGTTTTTACAGGAGGAATAAAGACCAAAAACAGATAATAGCTGCAGGTTACTACTTTGGTTGGAGGTTACCTGTTCTGACTGTGCTTTTTCCTCACTTGGGAGAGTCTGTGTCAGCACACCATTCTCATCAGGCTCTGTGGCATTGTGCCCTGCCACGTTCATAAGACCATTCTTGGGCATGGTCATTAAGCTTCATGGAATGGGATATCCTTCAGTGCCCTTGTTCCATCAAGGAACAACCATCACTAATTCTGAAGTTGTTTTTGTCTTCCCTTGTACCTCTTGGAGTCTCTTCCTGATTTCTTGTCTCTGTGTCCCCTTTCTAAGATCATCCTTAAACAGTCCTTGGATATAATTTAGGGTTCCCCTCTGCCTTGTTAATTTTATACTGTTTACAGCAGAAAATAAATCTAATCTGGGCACAAAATAAATCTAATCTGCATAGGGCAATTTGGAGGCCCTTTCTAAATTAGGGGGACACTTGCAGCCATGTGAGGAGCTACATTGAATCAAATGACAACACTTGCACTCTGAGTAAAAGAACTGGTCTCAAATATCGAGAGATTATGCAATATTTTAGAACACACGTGTTTCCCACCATAGGGCTGCTGTTCCCAGAGCACATCTGTATTTCTACTTTGCCTTCCCAGTGTTTGAAGCAGCAGGCAAACAGTTAAGCAGCGACACCAGCAGCAAAGCGTTCCAGAAATTAGCTGGCTTAAGACTGGGAGGATGAATTAAAAAGCAGTGCAATTTTTAAGTTATCCTGTTCAAGCTCTTGCACTGGAGGCATTAGCCATGAGGGAGATCACATCAGCTGGGAGCAAGATAATAAAATGAATGCAGGATCCGTAAGAGGCACGTGGGAGACTCTTACCGTGTGTTTTGGTCATGTCCTGATATACGTGAGCTTTGGGAGACAGCTCTACATGTAATAGAGTCAATAATCAAATCTGAAGTACCAAGGAACACAACTTGATGTTTCCTTAGAGAGGCCACAAGTTTGCAGCAGATGAATAAAGAGAGAATGTGGTAGATACAAATTTGTCTTTAGGCAAAAAAGGGAAAAAAAAAAGACTTGAAAACTGGAAGCGGGGAGAAAATATTGCACTGTTTCCAGACTGGAAAGAAATAGTAATGCCTACATCAGAAAGTTAATTAATTGTTGTTACATTGATAAATATGTGATATACCACATCAAAGACTAGCTAAATGATATTTGGAAATTAATTTGGATTCCTATTAAACAGAGCTCAGAGGAGCTTCCCAAATGAATAACTTGTTTGCTAAGCATTGCTTCCTTCTGTTTATAAAGTCTTTTCAAGTAAAGACAACTATTTTCAACTGTTCTTGTTGCTTTAAATGAACTATGAGATTCATCACTTGCCAGACATTCCTGACACATCCAAATACTGCAAATTGCAATGCCTTATTTAGAATCTTACAAAAAATTAGGTACTTGTTATCTCTTTTCTCTATGGGGATGACTTAGATAAAGTTATAGAAAAAGCCCCAAACCCCAAATTTAATATTGACAGTATGGTAATTTTCTCTAGTGTTAAATATTATTAAAAGAAAATGTAAATGTGACACATTAACTATATAAATACAGGTTCAGATTCTGAGCTCCTAAGAAAGTTTTTGTACAGTAAGAATGTTGTTTTCTTGGAAACTGTGCCAAAATACAGTAAAACTCATGACATTTTCTGCTTTTATTAAATGAAAAACTCATTCCTCTTGTTCTGCTCTTCTGCCTATTTTATCCCAGTGTAATTCCACCTACGTCTCTGGAAATACTTCTGTTTTTTATTAATGTCTATGAGTTCAAAAGAAGATAGGATTTAGTAGAGCTGAGTGCAGAGAGTTTACATGCAGACAAAAAGAAGAGAGAGAAATCTGACACAATATGCTGTGGAGTTGGATGGCAGCAACTTTGAGTTTTCTGTGCAATTGTAGTTGTTTAAAATGTCCAGGAAAAAATCCTTCTGGTCTCTATAAAAGCAGAGAAGTGGCCACCAGGACAAGGAGGTGGCCTCTGCACCCCAGCAAGCCACCCACGTCAGCAGTGATGGAGCTGCAGAGCTGCAGTTGGGTGTTTGAGCTCCCAGAGAGCTGATGGTTGGCTTCTGTAAGCCCAAGGAGAAAAGCAACTCCTGCTTGCTTAGATATCCATAAGAGCTTTTAAAAAATAATGTCCCATTAACTTTGGTTATCCTTTGGTTCATAGGAAAATACTTATTCATCAGGATTGGAAATGAATTTCTTCTCTGATTTCATTCCCCCACTTTTTAAAGTATTTCACCTCTCTTTTATTTTCTTTTTTCTTTGCCAATTAAACCTATCTTTTAGGTCTTCAGTTTCTTAGAATTTTTTTGTCAAAGGATAGCACTGCTGGAGTGAATCTCTTGTTTGCAAAGGTGTGTTTAAAAGATTAAGGCTGAACAGACATTCTTGTAATAGACATGGGATCAATGAAAGCTCTTCTTTTCCCAAGAAGCTTTAAGGCTTAGCAGCGAGGTTGATTTTTTTGTTTGTTTGTTTTAACTATAGAAGAAGTTGCATCTCTACCTGGGCTTCTATTGTTTGTGTGGTCTTCCACAGAATTCCTGAGCAAGAATTTACCCAACTCATCCCAAGCTTAGCTTGAGATGACAGATCTTCTCCTGCATGTATCAGTAGCCAAAGATTTTGTAGGTGATCTCTTCAGTAGGCAAGGGACCTGATTTCCCCCTTCTCCTACTTGTACCACTTGCAGCTTTTTAATTTACTTTTCAAATTTTCAGTTTTAGTGCTCATTCTATCGACAGCCTCCTGAGTTTCAGTGGGGCCTCACAAAGAATTTGGATACTACTCTGTGGGGCTGTGAGCAGCAGAATCCAATTTGGGACGGTGTCCTGGGAGGGATCTGAGTCAGGGCAGGAAGGAGAAGCCAAGGTGGCATCCACGCTCCAGCACCTACAGGATCTGAAGGCCAATGAACATTTTAACTTGGTGATTTGCTTGGCTAACTTTTGTGTATGCAATTGCAGGAGGGGGAGAGACAAGGCCCTGGGTTAGTAGAACAATGACATTCATGCTTTAAATCCCTTAAAAACAAACTTAATGGCCATCGAGTACAATGCTCTGAACAGCCCTGCTGAATCAAAGGCTGGCTGAGGACAAGCTGAAGGTCCAGTTTGGTGGTGCAGAGTGTGAATCACCCTCACGGCTGCAGACCCTCAGCCAGAGCAAGAAGAGAACCTCCAAGGTCAGGCAAGGCTGTTCCAGAGCCAGCCTGCCAAGCTGGGAAAAGGCAAAGGATACAGAGAGCACAGGTCGTGGAGGGGAATGACCGAAGCTGTTCCAGTTGATTTTCTGCTGCTCACGTTATTTCTGAAAGGTGCCGTGGCTGCAGTCTTTCCTCGGGGGAGCGTTTGCTTTGTTTCCTCCAGGAGAATAACATTTAACTGCTTCAGCTGCAGAACAGAACCCTAATTCTGCAGCTGATCCGAGGAGAGGCTGCAGCCCACCTAAGCCCTTTGTGTGTGTTCTGTGTCTGTGTGCAGGTGCTCCCTGATGGGGTTTGATCTGAACCGGCACTGGGCAAATCCCTCTCCGTGGGCTCATCCCACCCTGCACGGAGTGAAGGAGCTCATCATCGACATGTACAACAACCCGGTGAGTGGGCACAGAGCTGCTGAGCCACCCCTTGTGCCGAGGCACCGACCCCATCCCTGCAGGACATCAGGGAACAGCTGCTCCTTGTGCCACAGGAAGCGTCAGAAGTGGAGAAAGCCAGTGAAATGAAGTTCAGCTCAGATTAGGGAGGAAATAACTCTGAAAGCGGGGCCTAGGTTCAGTCGAGCTGCTCTCATGCTCTGAGCTGGATTCGAGACAGCAGGCCCCCCAAACTGAATTAGGGAATGGCAGCGATGCTTAATCCGGGGCTCTGGCAGTGGTGGCTGTGTGGTGTGCAGTGCAGGAGGGGGAGAATATTTGCAAATGTTATATAAACACACACTCATGCTCGCTCAGAGAAGGAGAGGTGTTCTTGAAGGTGAAATCTGAGCTAATCAGAGGAGATGGATTGCAGAGAATATGGAGAAGAGGAGTGGGAGGGAGGCAGACAGCTATTGAATGTTTGACATCAAAGTGCAGAAGGATTATTGAATGTGGCACCTAAGAAAAACTGCTAAAAAAAAAATGGAGATGGGTAGGAAAAAATCACTACCAAAAAATAAGAGAAGATTTTATAGATTATTGTTTTTTTTTCATTATGGGATTCCTGGAATTTGTCCTTTCTTTTTGTTCCTCAAAATGGAGAGGGAATTTGAATCTTTAAGTCCCTGAAGTTTTGCTAGGTTTTCCTTTTGTTTTTTCTTTCTTTCCTTTTTGTTTCTGTGAAAAAGGACCTGGCTTGCCTTGATAATAAAGAAAGATGATTCTTACTCCCAGCTACATCATGTATAGGATAAGACCTCCTTTAATTTAACTCCTGGTTTTCCCAATGCATCTTAATTGGACTTTTTATCTTCCAGTAATAACTGTAGAGAGGAGGTTTTAGGTACAAGGTAGATAGGTTAATAAATAAGATCCTTACATATGGACTGGAATCCAATTGCATGGAAAATATTTTCTTAGACTGTTAATTTTTTGGCACAGAATTTGTCCTTCTATTCAGTTTCTGCAGCACCTTGTGCTTTGTGCCTCTGACCAAGCCTCCCAAGCTCTATTAAAATGATGATAATAAAAATGGAAAGGCACAGGAAGGAGCTTTGGAGCCAGCCTGATCTTTCCTCTGTTTTCTATCCCAAAAAGCAAGACAGTTTTTCTTCTAGATGAGGTAGAGAGCATGCAGACTGCTTTGAGAAGAGGTTTTTTCCTAAGAATGAAGAGGTCTTTAAATATTATAAGAAGGTTTGGTATAGGGAAATGCTTGTAGCCAATAGGCTACAAATCCAAATAGACAAATCCTGACACTATTAAAAGTCACTGTCAGTAAAATAAAGCTATTCTTGGAGGTAGGGGGAAGTTCTTTTCAGCTTCATCCCATTCTAAGGAAGCTTTGGAAATTCTGGTAGCTTCCAGCTGTCCTATGTGTGAAGAATGAATTAATTTGCTTTGGTGGCTAAAATGAAAAATCAAAAGAACTTTGGTGAGAGCTGATTTGAAATGGAAATATTTTTTTTCTCCATCTTTCTGTCTCCCATTCTACCCAGTGATCAACCTGAGATGAACCAGTTCCAGTTCATTTCTTTCTGAGGGAAAGAAAAGGGAGCCTTTTAAAACACAAATGTAACATTTCATTTTCAATGTTATTTAATTATTTTTTTTTTTTTTTTATATTTTTTTAAATTTTTTTATTAAGGTACCAGCAAAATTCAGGTTGCTCTTCAGAATTCCATTTCTTCATGAATTAGCTACCCACTGGAAAAAAACCTTCTTGTCTGGCTTTATCATCCCCTTGTCAACACCAGTTTCTGGCAGTTTCAGGGATGCTCAGCAGTGCAATGCAGTATGTAGGATTACTGTTATTTTCAGGCAATACCAGATCCTTAGTCCCCCTGATCCCAGTAATGTTGGTATGAAAAGACCATATCCAAGGTGCTGGGACAGAAGGGGGAGACTCAGCTGCCTCAGAGGGTGGGCATGGGGCTGTCCATGCACCACCCTGCTGTAGCACTGACTGCTTTTATTGAGTTATGACAGAGTGCCAGAATAAAACCTGCTTTGAATCCCTTCAGGCAGCTAAAATTTTAGGTGGTTTTCAGGGGTAGAGTGATACTTTCAGATGACTAATACATGATAGATGGCTGGCTGCATGCACAGGTGACCTGCTGCAGGAGGGCTGGTGTCAAACTGTGACACATCAGGCATTTTGCATTTGAACATGTCTGTCCTGACACCTTCTCCTCACCTGAAGTCTTCCCACACTGGGGAATATGAAATGAAATAAAATGAAAACCCCAATTCCCTGAGAAATTATGTAATAAAAAAATAACCTTCATCCCACCCATTGCAGACAAGATCTGCTGTGAAGGGCTGTCCACTGAAGACTGGATTGTTTAAAGCAAGAGGAAGTTTGGCTTCATGTTGCCATTGCAGAACAGCTCAGTGCAGGACTTTTAGATGTATTCATTCCCTTAAATCACTTAAGGAAAATTAGCTGCCATAAGACCATAAACCCATGTTTTAAATATTGCTGCATAGGAGGATTTTTCTTCTGCTCTGCAGTATGGGAGATAAGCTCTTTCCTTTGAAAAAAAGTTCATTCTGGAGCAGAGAGGATGAGTGACACAGAAATAAGTGAAGTGGGTATGAGGCACACACACAATGCCACAGCTACAGTGATTCCAGCACTGAGTGTTCCAGGACTGAGTGTTTGCTGTAGTTACTGTATAAAAATAATCCAAAGCACTTGTGGTTCACTGTTCTTCTTGCCTTTACAAAGTGTGCTTATTTTATTTTAGTTTTAAAGCATTTCAGATACAGTAAGGACCATATCATCCTTAGGAAGGAATGGATGGGTCAGAACAGCAGAGAGAACAATAGGAAGTTTTTGATCTCTGTGCCACTGATTTTGACAGAGTAACTCTGATGATCAGTGTCATTACATTGACCTACATGGAGTGAGGGGATATTCTCAGCTGTTTCTAGTGGCATCAGTCTTGCAGATGAGACTGAAGTGATAGTCTCCTCTAGGTCATGTGCTGTTGGCTGGGATATTTCAGCTCCCAAGTACCTTTCCCTGCCCATATGTGAGCCAGCAATGTCTTCCCACCACTCCACCAGAGATACCTGTCGATGGTTTCCCTGTCTGCTGAGATAGCAGAACTATCTCAGAACATGAATGTATGATTTAAACCAGCCCAGCTGACTCTTGTTTGGAGCATGTTAAATCATGTTCATATGAGCCACTCCAGCACCCTTTAAAAGCAGGTTTAGTGAGTGCACTCAGGTCGTGTGTTCAGTGTCAGCTCAGCCCCCTCAATATGAGCATTGTGATATGGTCTTTACACATATCACAGATGTTCTTCCCCCATCTAGAGACCCCTGCCTCCTCCAAATGGACAACTCCCACATAATGAGCAGCTACTCAGTGTTTTGTTTTACCTTCAGTGTTCACTGTGCAGCCTTGTCTTGTGTTTACTGTGCACTGTGCAGTTCCTACACTGAAGATAGAACTGTTAATCTCCTCGTAGGCTCTTTTGTTCTGCTCATTGCTCATCCCTGGGAGCATTGCAGAAGTGTGGATTATTTTTTTTCGGGGGGGGGGGGTGTGGACCCTCTGAGAGACAAATGTTTCTTCCTTGTGTGGATATGAAACAGTTATGATCACACCTACTCATTGGTGATAGATGGTTTAAGATGCCTGGAATCAGATTTGTTTCATGGCATCCAGCAAAGATTGATACTTCCACTGTCTTGTTTCTGTCCCTTGCTTCTGCAAGGAAGATTGGAATAGACTGTTTCTGTCATTTGATTCTCCTAGGACTTAGGAGACAAGGAATAGGCAATGACTGACCACTTGGAATGAATCTGTTTCAAGTAATTTGCTCCTCCCAAGTGAAAATGCAGGCATGGGATTCAGGGCTCCGAGGCACTTTCACTGCAATGCTGGTCTTTGTGTTCTTTCTTCCGAGTTTCTTCTGTTCTGCCTCCTTTGCAAACTATTCCTTTGCTAGATGCTGTTCACCTTGTGCCCTAAGTGAGCTGGAAACAACAAAAATACTCACTTCCCTGAGATGTGGTCCTTAATTATCATCTCCTTCTTCATGCACACATATACTAAACTTTAATATTTCTGCATAAGTGACCTTTCTGTATACATTCCTGACTTTGGAGTGCTTGATGTTGCAGCCCTTGAGTACTTTTAATACTACTCTGGGTGAAAGCTTTCACTGATTCAATGCAAAATGAAAGCCCCAGCATGCTAAACTCTGAGTCATTGCTGGGCTGGAAGCTTTAGATCCAGCACACAGACACCTGCCACGAGGGCTGATGAATTAGCTGATAGAGGATGGCAATCTGCTATTGCTGTGGACAGGAAAGAGGGAGGGAAGGAGCCCGTGGGCTTTGGGGTGTCTGCTGACAACAGCATTAGTAATAAGATAGGATGAGTAAACACAATACTGTACGCATGGGTAGGGGTGGTATTTAAGGGTGAATGACACCTTTTATATTTTTGAGGAGGCTTTTTTTACAATCCCATGTGCAGGCTCAGATTTGAACAAAATCATTATTTTCCAATCTCCCTGTCTCTGAGGAGGCCTAGCTTTTGATCCAGGTAGGCTTGAGTGGGCAAGCAGTAAGAGTACAGGGGAATTAGCCTGGTAAGTCAATGTAACTGGATTCTTCAGAAGAAGAGTATATCCTCTTCAGAAAGAGAATATATTTGCTTTCTTTCAAAGTTACAGAATGTACAGTCCTCTGGGTCTGTGTTATCATCACTCCCCAGGCCCTTCTTTAGAGACAGATGGGTGTCCTCCTAGGGCTGGCTCCCCTCAGAACATCCTGCACCTCACTGCTGCAGGAAGACAGCAGAAAGACGGTTTTGGGGGAAAAGGCTTGATCTCAGAGTTCCAGCTTGTGGCTGATAAGCCTTGATAATAGAGAACAGGTGAGATGGAAGGCTGAGTGGTGTGTGAAGCAGGTGAGCTCCCAGATGAAGGGGAACA